TTATTATATATATATATATATATATATATTATTCGATACAAACCGGTTAAGAAAACCGGATAGTCAAGTAATTATACGTACACAATACAATTCTTATATGATTGATAATAAAACCTTGAAAAACATCCTTGAAAACATCCTGGAACTTAAATTTTATTGGTTACATTAATTGCGATTACCATAATTCAAATACAACGGCATTACGTAAAATAACGTGAGAGAAACAACATTAAAACATATAGCATTCAATCTTAATTCTAACTTGTCTATTCTAATCAACTCATTTCGCAACTTGCAAATTCTTTGTGTAATTTTCATTCAACATCTGCTTTCATCCATTAAACTCTGTATCTCTACAAAATCGAAGCTTGATATCGAAGCATGATTTTAATAACAATAATTCTAGAAAACTCTGCATGTCGTTACGCTGTTTTATTTATTGAAAACTGTGAGGAAGAATAACAAGTGGAGTGAAGATAAATTGTTCAATTGTTGTAATCTACAAGATTATTTTATAACAAATGTTATCTCGAATGAGAAACTTTCTTATTCTTAACATATTAAGATCAAATAGATTCCTTATTCCTAACAATTTTTCTTAATCTTTATTACAATAGGAGAATGAAAATATTCTTTTGAAAAATATAGAAATGATAAGAAAAATAATATGATACAAAGAATGCGAAGGTTTCATTGTAATTCTTATGTTAGCTGAGATAGTTGAAAGATTTTTCTCAAAGATTAAATTATTGAGTATTATCGACGACTATTATTCGATGAGAGTGCAATGCTACGACGAGTTGCAATGCTATGAGATCAAAAGCATCGCAAAATAAAGATACTACGTTCGTTTTCACAATTGATAATGTTAAATAATTGAATGTTGAAATATGTGCTTAAAAGTATAAAAAGAAATCAAATTAGTTTTGTGAATTTGATACATCGATAGTTTAACGATGCATTCATCAAATATCATATATTGCTGCTACATGTTTCTGCTTACTTCTTTGTCCTCGGAATCTTGGGAAAATTCTACGAACAACAATGAGGAGAACAAAAATTTGACAGTGCGATACAATCTTCCTGTAAATTCTACAAGGAACGAAACACAGTATCAGTCCGATATTAATTTTATGAAGAATAATCACATGGATGACGATGTGATACAGTACAAGTTTCGTAATCATGTCACGAACTCTACAAAGGTCAATGATAAAAATGCAACTACATTGCAAGAAATTAGTGAAAATCAAATACAGACAAACAATTTCACAAACAATTTCACATCGTACGAACGCTACGGAAATTTCAATACAGATGATTACAATAATAGTACAGACACTGTACTTATTGTTCCATATGAAGTATGTAACAACAGTATCTGCATTCAGCTTTGCTGTTCTTTTGGCAATTATCTAACATTTAAAGGAAAGTGCGTCGCTGGACAGGGTAATTATTCTTTTCCAAATGTCTACAAGTATAAGAACGATTCCGAGGATAAAAGATTGGACCAACTATTTCCAATGACCGTCCACGATCCATGTGTTGTACAAGGATTTGGACGCCGTTTACTTCACCCCAATGAATATTTGCTCCTCAACAACGGTACTTTGTACCATGGTCCTGGTCAGCTAACTTCACCGACATCTTATTGCATCGCTATTATAAAACGAAACATTTATGATGTGATTGTTTGCAATTATAATAAGACTAAGCTTCCGATGTTTATATCCGCGTGTCTTGTAATATCTTTGCCATTCCTGTTATTGACATTCGTGGTGTACTCCATATTGCCAGACCTTCAAAATATGCATGGCTATACGTTACGTGCACACGTCGCATCGTTATTCGTCACATACATCATTATGCCTTTTGGTCAACAAATCGATACTTTACACGAATCAAAGTTTTGCATTCCACTAGGTATAGCACACGTATACTATACTATACTATACTATACTACACTATATAATGATATAATAATATAGTGTAAATAGACTTAAAATTATTAGCTCGATGTATTCACACATCTACTTTTTTTTAATAACTTGATATGAAAGTTGTTAAATTTTTAAAGATATAAGCAATTTTCTAGTTCACAAATGTTGCAAGAATTATACAATAAAATAAAAATGTTATTTAATTCAATATGGGCATACCATTTGTTGAACTTGCTTTTTCTTGTTATAAATTTGCAATATAAAAATAAATAATAATTATAAATTTTACCGATATGCCAATACGTAGATTATCTATTTTATTCTTCCAGCCTACATTTTAAACTTCTCGTTTTTATCAAGCTTTTTTTGGCTAAATGTAACATGTTTCGACATTTGGTGGACATTTAAGTAAGTGATCAAATATTTCATATTATATTTTACGCATGTAATTTATTCAGATAATTCAAAGAACTTTTATCTTTTACAAATAGCATGACAAATAAGATACTTTTCAATAAAATTAATCAGAAAATATTAAAAAAAAACTTTT